GAGTTCTGCGCGCATTATATTTTTCAAATCGCACATGAACGCAGTGGTAAATGTTCGTGTTTGATGAAATTTGGATCAAGAAATGCCGGCTCAGGTTTCTACTGCCTTTCCAATTGTCACTTCTTTTTCGAGAAGGTGAAGGATGGGCTAGGACCTTCCACTGGACAAAAACCAGAAGAAAACATACCAAGAAATAAATAAAAGAGACGCACTGTCCACGGCCACATTCTCTCAGGTTTACGAGGCAAAATCGAAAAATACGGAAAAACTCGCTTATAAGCCCTTCTTGACCGTTTACATGACAAAATAAGCCCTGGGGGTTGGATAAGCTCGGGGGCCAAGGGTAGGGCTAGTTCAGCTCGGGGCGAGCTGAATAAGCCCGCCTGACCATGTAAACGCGCGCTCTAAAATGACTGGGTGACTGATCAAGGCGGGCTTATCGTAAGCCTAGGGTTGAATAAGCCCGGGCTTATTTTTCTCATGTAAACGGCCCCTGAGTTGTAGAACATGACTGTACAACTGTATGGAATTTGATGCGAACAGGCGGATTATTCCAATTTTATGCGATTCGTATGCAATTTGCCTCGAATTATGCGATTATTCGATTTTGGTAGGAATTATGCGAAAAGTTATGCTAGCATAATCCGTCAAGGCCTATGCATCGAGCATTGTGTACAGGGCACATGTAACCGGCAGCGACATGAAGGAGTATACTGGATTAACGGAAGGGACATTCAAGACACGATTCAATGGTCATCAACATACTATTCGCCACAAGAAGCACGAGACCTCAACGAGACTGTCCGGACACATCTGGAGACTGAATGATGAAAACAAACCTTACAGTATCAGGTGGTCCGTTGTGAGGAGAGCCGCACCATACTCTAACATCTCGAAGCGCTGCAACCTGTGTCTGGCCGAGAAGCTAGAGATTGCCTGGGCCGACAAGACCCGCTCCCTCAACAAGAGGTCAGAGCTTGTGTTAGGCCTTAACATTCTTTGTTCCGTTGGGACTGTAGCTAGGGCTCATTTTCGTTGCGCTTACCTAAGTTACCTTCCCCTTTTTGGTCTCTCCATAACTTTACCTTGAACCTTCCGAGTTGGAAGGCTGTCGGTTAGCGCTATGGAGATGTGTTGAAGCTAAGTGTCAGGACGTCGAATGTCTCAGTACTCTGTCAGTTTTGTGCCTAGTTGTTGCACTTTCTGACTGTATAATATCTAGTTACAGTGGTGGAGAGTTATTATATATTTGAGGATTTCCCAAAGACATAGTTACTCTTAACTCGTTTCCATATGTCCTTTTTCCTTTCTGCATTAATTTTATTATTGGCTCAATACCCGAGTTTCAAATAGATTAATAGGTCGATACGCAGTAGGCTGACAAGGATCATTACTGCCACCTTTGAATAGCGGCGACACATTAGCAATTTTTAATTAAACTGATGGGGAACACACCCCTGGCATAGCGAAGTATTGAAAATCATGCTGAGCGAGGGAGCCAGTATTGGTGCCGAGTTTCTAAGGGCAATACCCGGCAAGTCATCGTGTCCAGTCGCTTTTGACGCGTCAAGGGACTGGAGAAGGGCCATAACGTCCTCCGTCGAAACAGACGCAAATTCCGTGAATGCTGGTGCTTCACGTTCGGCTGGTGCGTTGGCGCTACTTCGAAGTAGACATTTCCCAAATCGGCCCGATTTTTTCGCCTACTAGTAATCGGCTTTTGGACCAGCTAAGATTATACTGAAGTATTATGATTGTATTATTCTAGCTAGGCTGTTCATTAGCCATCTACTGTCTGCTATCTCAACCCTACAGCCTCCCATTATAATGGAACTCCCTTCAATTTAGACTACTTGTACGTCTTTGGGAAATCCTCAAATAAACATGTATATAATAATGATAATAAATAAGAGAGAGAGAGATGGGAAGCTTTGTTACAACTCTGAGTTTCACGTATTACTACGATCATCAGGCAACTGAAGGATCCAAAACGGGCAGCCAGAACATTAGGGGGAGCAAGGTGGGAAATTCTGAGGGGTATCATAGGCGACGCGTATCATAGCGCAAGAGTCAGGTGCAGGCGTGAAGTTGCCAAGTCTTCAGACTTGGGGCTATGCAGCAGTAGTTGCGGCGTGAGTGATATAGAATAGAGCTGGGGACAAATGCCAAATCCACACATGCCCACACCATTACACAAACATACACCCACACTCTCTCCCTTTTCTCACATACACATGCACTCACACGGCAGTCTTTGACATATGCAGAAAATACCAATTCATTTATTGTGAACTTCCCACTGTTATGTTCAAGATCTGACCTGGTCTAAAAAGTAGCTAGCTGCTAGTGGACTCTATGACAACGCTTACTTTTGCATACGCCACACACCATACGCCACACACCATACGCGCGCGTCACGCATGGTTGTGGATAAACCTTGCTTTTTCAAGTTTTGTTTACATCATGACGGTAATGTGTTGATAATTTGACAGCAGCATGAAACAAGGTGGAGGACACCGAGGCTCTACCAATCGTTGTGGATGGTTGCAGAAAGTTCACTGTTTCCGAACACGGTGTCCTCCACCTCGTTTCATGCTGCTCGCAAACTATCAACACATACTCACATGATTGTCCACAACTTCAAAAGACCATTTAATTATGATATCAGATACATGTATCGGACTCTACAAGACAAGAACCACATACAGTGTACAACAAATGTGCGTAAATGATAATCGAACTTCGCAACACATGGGCACAGATATTCGATGCATTGAACTGTAGGGATCCATTAGATTGGACAGGATTAGACGAAATGATTGAGCCAGCACTCACCTATGTGCTTTGGAAGCATCCAAGCTGCCCGCACAGGGGTTCAGTGTATTGCTCAGCTAGGATGCAGCAGGTTCGATCGCACTGGTTGCCTTCGACGTGCCTGCATCATCCACAGGAGATGCCTTCGCAAGGCCAAGCCAAGGTGTTCATTAATCTCCTTGACTACTTGCTCCATGTTCATACGCTCAGCTGCATTGTGTCGCATCATGTAGTACATAATCTTATTCACACAAGGAGGCAGGCTAGAAGTAGACAAGCCTATAAATTTCACAGGCTGATATCATGGATATGATCCCCTCCCCAAGATGTCATTCATCGCTATAAACTGCTTGTACAAATCGTCACTCCATAATGAGTCGCAGGCGTCCCGAGTCATCACTTTTAAAATACACAATCCAAACCTCCAAGAGTCTGCTGACGGACTAACCATTATCCAATCACTTTCGGGGTAATCTATGCCTGGTTGTGGGAACAATTCAGGAGGTCTATACGTGTATGAACTACGGTCATCGAGTGTTCTGCAAAGATCTACCTTCTCGCCTGCGAATTTAGCAGAACCTAGGTCGATCAACAGGCAATGTTACCTGATTACATGAGATCGACTACAGGCACACAAATATACATATAAGGACACAAGGAAAAGATTAAAAGAAAACCAGATGAATAGAATAGAATAGAACAGGGTTTAAGACAGCAGAGGAAAAATTACATAATTATTTGATCAGTGAGCAACGTTAGTCAGTGACTTTTAAGGTGGGATAAAAGAGTGGTCCGGAATTGACCGGGTTTCTCCAGTGATCGTATAGATGCAAGCAACTTATTCCAGAGAGTGGGACATTGATATCATGGGCTGTGTGTGGCGGCGCAGATGTGACCCCCGGGAAAAGAAGCAGGGAAACATCTGTGCTCCTTGTTCGACGAGTGTGTGACAGAGGTGTAAAGAGGTAATGAAGAAGCACACTACATCAAAATGGATAATTCCCAGAGAGTTGAGGAAGTGGAGGCCGGAGGCAGCATCCCGCAGCAAACCTAGTCGTTCTTGATCATGCAGCTCAGTGCTGGGCAGCTGGCGGAGTGAACCTTCTGGAAAATACTCCAGTTCAAAACCCTCACAACTGTTGAACTTGTACCAAAATGGCTTGCATGTTGCAATCAATCGATCCATTTTGCCAGGAAGTTCGGGCCGTCGAATTCTTCCCTCGCACTTCCGCACATCATGACAAGGTTATAAGCAGTTCTTTATACAGCACTTTAGTCCGGTACCTGTTTTTTCCCCCAGAATCCGCTTTCCTCAACTTCAGCACAGTTGTATCGGCTTCAGGGCTTTTGGAGCCCTTCTTGGGGGTGACCTTCACCACACGTCTGCTCGTCGAGTCTGAACCATAGATGAAGTCACCTTCATCCTTCACATCCTCGACATTAGGTAGTATAATGGTAGGTTTGTTGGACCGGCATATGGCTTTCGCTCTTTCGAGTTGACCCGGTACTGGGATTGTGTGGCGAACCTCAGTGAAATAGTCCTCCAAGAAGCACTCCTGAGGTGCGCGAATCTCCCGTTGCTGTACTGGTGAGACCTTTAATGGCCGAAGCAGCTTGCTGTCTACAGCATTGGGTATATTCATGTACCTGTAAATAATTCGGTTTTTTAGTTTGACAGCATATTACAAGGTGGTGGAACACGGTGTTCCTTCGTGTGGTGTGATGTAGACGGGTACATCCCCTTGACACGGTCCGCCTTGCTGCTTCACCAAGTCAATTTCGTATCGCAATCCTAGATTGGCTAGGGTACCCCATAAGGAGACAATAGGTCTGTGGGGACTGCCATAGAAATATGATTCAGAAATATGATTCATAAAATACATATTACATACACAGGACTAGACCTTGTAATTGTTTGAAATACATGTATACGCGATGAGTACAACTCTGAGTACAAATACGGGAAACACCAATTCTTGTGATACGGGGACACTTGCTAGATACGGGATTCGAGACAATAATCATAAATGCTTCAGGTAGTCATGAACTCGGTGTTTTTCCAGCAGTACGATCATGTGTAGTGGGAGCACTGTTCCAGGCATAGTGCACTGGCCTGAGAGTGGGCAAGGTATAGCGGAGTTTGACTTTGTGTGCCACCACTGTCTCCAAGCATAGTGCACTGGGAGTGAGCAGAGATCAAGCCTGAGCGGAGTTCGACTCTGTGTTGCGCCAGTTGACATCGCAGGTAAGACTTAGCTGCAGCTTGTTGGCCTGTTTTCTAGGTTCGCGGTATTTTGTCGGCCTTTCTTGGATTCATAGTTTCTACCGAAATTTATTATTATTATTATGTGCTTGTTCGCGTAGACATCAGCATGGCCTGCAGCTGCATTAATGGGCATGCAAATCATGCAAACCAGCCAAAAATGTTCGCATAAGCCACTTCGAATAGATACAAAAGACCATAACAGTTTCAGAAAAAGAAGAAATATGCGAACAGAAGACAAAAACTAGGGTGCCGACACCACTCGGGCACAGATGCCTACCCAACCGCTTCGGTCAGCAGCAAGGGCACGGAACGCCTCCAGATCTCCCGAAATAGCTGGTAATATTTATATTTATATTTATTACAACATCTCAAGACTCGGTGGAAACACCGGCCAATGTAAGAGAGTGGGTGATTGCCAACCACGGCGATAAATAAAAGTAAGGGGAGGGAAAAAGAAAGAGTAGCAAAATGAACAGCAACAACAACTCCATAAAGAAAGACAATGTCAAATAAAATAGTGAAAAATACAGAGACGCAAAGGACATGTGGATAATGAGCTATCTATGTCGTAGTAAATAAGGGGCGGCACGGATCTTAAACAGGCGGAGTGAGGTCAGATCCTTAACTTCTCTGGGTAGAGTGAGCCAAACAGAATAAGCAATAAAGAGAGGGGAGCGCAAAAGAGTGGATGAGTTACACTTAGGGAGTAAGAGCAAGTCTAGTTCTTAGAGAAGAGAACCAATTAAAACACTTGAGATGAGGTGGGCACAACTCAAGCTTAATAGAATGGACAAGAGAAGCCAGGTGTGCACTGCGTCAATCATGGTTGACACCATGACACCATGTCACCATGTCATGTTGACACTGCACTGTGTCATCCGTGACTTGAGAATAATAATAATAATAATACTTCGCCCGAGTGCTGCTGAATAATGCTTGTTAAATTGGGGCAATTATTTTTTAAAGATTATAGTAGTAGAAGGCGATCGGGTTTCGAGAATGTGTGAACATACTAGATAAGCTTGATGCCGTATTGGGATAATTATTTACTAGAATGGACTCGGATATGTGGTTTCTTGGTCCTTTTTCTTTACTATAAATTATTTACTAGTTGAAGATTAAATGGTAAAAGGCGATCGGGTGTTCAAGAGTTTGTGGAAAGTTCTAGATTGCGGAACAATAACAGTAGTGACAGGAGTGGGTAATCAGCGAAACCTGAACGGTTTATCAGTGTTTAGTGGGGAATCAGCGAAACCTGAACGGTTTATCAGTGTTTAGTGGGGAATCAGCGAAACCTGAACGGTTTATCAGTGTTTTACTAGGCAGGCCCGTCGGAACCGGTCCGGTTGGCCAGGCCATGGCCGGACCAACGTTTTGGCAACCAGCACGTGTTTATTACTGTGGAGGTCACGTGTACATGTACTTGTATACTCTCCATATCATACACAAACTGTATGAAAGGCCAGGCAGGGTATGCCCGGACCAATCCCAAACTCCTTCCGTCAGGCCTGCTGTGAAGGAAGAGACAACGTGTAGCCCGGGGTTCCGACATGGTGAAGGCCTACCCATGGCATGACAATCCCCACTCTAACACCGCATACTCTTGCTTACACCATTCACCACACGCGTCAGACATCGCACCTCACTCACACGTGCGTAAATGATAATCAAACTCCGTTAAAACATGGCAACAGATATTCCGGTGTATTGAACTGAGGGGATGCATTAGCTTCGACAGGATTAGACGAAATGACTGAGCCAGCACTCACTTATGTGTTTTGGAAACCTCCAAGCTGCCCGCGCAGGGCTTCAATGTATTGCTCGGCGAGGATGCAGCAGGTTCGGTCGCATTGGTCACCTTCGACGTGCCTGCATCATCCAGAGGAGATGCCTTGGCAAGGGCAAGGTGTTCATTGATCTCCTTGACTACATGCTCCATGTTCATACGCTCAGGTGCAAAGGGTGGCAACAGGTAATACATGAGTTTGTTCACACAATGGGGCAGGCTAGAAGTAGATAAGGTCAGAAATTTCAGAGGCTGATATGAACCCCTCCCCAAAAGGTCATTCATCGTTATAAACTTCTCGTACCCATCGTCACTCATTAGAGCTTCATTCCATAATGAGAGGAAGCTGTTCCGAGTCATCACTTTTAAAACACACAATCCAAACCTGCAAGAGTCTGCCGATGAATCAGCTGGAACCCGATCATGTAGGGGGTCGGGTTGTCTAGGGCACGGGAACATCAAAATGGATAATTCCAAGTGAATTGAGGAAGTGAAGACCGAATGCAGCATCCCGCAGTAAACCGAATCGCTCATTATCATTCAGCAGATACATGTAGGTGGGGAGGTGGAAAAGTGATCCTTCTGGAAAATACTCCAGTTCAAATCCCTCACATTTGTTGAACTTGTACCAAAATGGCTTGCACATTACAATCAGCCGATCACTTTGTCCTTTTGAATTGTTTTATCAGCCGATCACTTTGTCCTTTTGAATTGTTTTTTCCGCGCACTTCTGCACGTCCATGGTCGTACGCAGTTCTTTATACAGCTTTTTAGTGTAGCCGTTGAACCTGTCTTTACCGGGATAAATCTTGCGTAGTTTCAGCACAGTTGTAGTGGCTTCACTTTCAGGGCTTTTGGAGCCCATCTTGGGCGTTACCCACTCCACAAATATATTTGTTGACCTATAGATGCAGTCACCTGGAATCTTCACATCCTCGACATTAAGTGTTTCGATAATAGTCGGTTTGTTGGACTGGTATATGGCCTTCGCTATTTTGAATTCAGCTGGTACTGGAATTGTGCGGCGATACGTAGTGAAGCAGTCCTCTAAGAAGCGCTCCTCCACTGTGTGCGAATCTCCTTTTGCCATTGTCTCTACTGCTTGTCCTCCTGCTGACGCTTTTTGGCGGTTACTTCGTTTCGTTGATAGCGACCATTCATCGTTATAAACTTCTCGTACCCATCGTCACTCATAAGAGCTTCATTCCATAATGAGAGGAAGCTGTTCCGAGTCATCACTTTTAAAACACACAATCCAAACCTGCAAGAGTCTGCCGATGAATCAGCTGCAACCCAATCATGTAGGGGGTCGGGTTGTCTAGGGCACGGGAACATCAAAATGGATAATTCCAAGTGAATTGAGGAAGTGAAGACCGAATGCAGCATCCCGCAGTAAACCGAATCGCTCATTATCATTCAGCAGATACATGTAGGTGGGGAGGTGGAAAAGTGATCCTTCTGGAAAATACTCCAGTTCAAATCCCTCACAATTGTTGAACTTGTACCAAAATGGCTTGCACATTACAATCAGCCGATCACTTTGTCCTTTTGAAATGTTTTTTTTCCTCGCACTTCTGCACGTACATGGTCATACGCAGTTCTTTATACAGCTTTTTAGTGTAGCCGTTGAACCTGTCTTTACCGGGATAAATCTGGCGTAGTTTCAGCACAGTTGTATTGGCTTCACTTTCAGGGCTTTTGGAGCCCATCTTGGGGGTTACCTACTCCACAAATATATTTGTTGACCTATAGATGCAGTCATCTGGAATCTTCACATCCTCGACATCAAGTGTTTCGATAATAGTAGGTTTGTTGGACTGGCATATGGCTTTCGCTATTCCGAATTCAGCCGGTACTGGAATTGTGCGGCGATACGTAGTGAAGCAGTCCTCTAACTTCGCTCCTCCACTGTGCGCGAATCTCCGGTTGCCATTGTCTCTACTACTTGTCCTCCTGGATTCGTATTCTCGCTACCCTGCCGTTGTTGGGTGACCTTCACAACAAATCTGTTCTTTGAGTCTGGCCTATAGAATCAGTCACCTGGAATCTTCACATCCTCGACATTAAGTGTTTCGATAATAGTCGGTTTGTTGGACTGGTATATGGCCTTCGCTATTTGGAATTCAGCCGGTACTGGAATTGTGCGGTGATACGTAGTGAAGCAGTCCTCTAAGAAGCGCTCCTCCACTGTGTGCGAATCTCCCGTTGCCATTGTCTCTACTGCTTGTCCTCCTGCTGACGCTTTTTGGCGGTTACTTCGTTTCCTTGATAGCGACCATTCATCGTTATAAACTTCTCGTACCCATCGTCACTCATTAGAGCTTCATTCCATAATGAGAGGAAGCTGTTCCGAGTCATCACTTTAAAAACACACAATCCAAACCTGCAAGAGTCTGCCGATGAATCAGCTGGAACCCGATCATGTAGGGGGTCGGGTTGTCTAGGGCACGGGAACATCAAAATGGATAATTCCAAGTGAATTGAGGAAGTGAAGACCGGATGCATCATCCCGCAGTAAACCGAATCGCTCATTATCATTCAGCAGATACATGTAGGTGGGGAGGTGGAAAAGTGATCCTTCTGGAAAATACTCCAGTTCAAATCCCTCACAATTGTTGAACTTGTACCAAAATGGCTTGCACATTACAATCAGCCGATCACTTTGTCCTTTTGAAATGTTTTTTCCTCGCACTTCTGCACGTACATGGTCATACGCAGTTCTTTATACAGCTTTTTAGTGTAGCCGTTGAACCTGTCTTTACCGGGATAAATCTGGCGTAGTTTCAGCACAGTTGTATTGGCTTCACTTTCAGGGCTTTTGGAGCCCATCTTGGGGGTTACCTACTCCACAAATATATTTGTTGACCTATAGATGCAGTCATCTGGAATCTTCACATCCTCGACATTAAGTGTTTCGATAATAGTAGGTTTGTTGGACTGGCATATGGCTTTCGCTATTTCGAATTCAGCCGGTACTGGAATTGTGCGGCGATACGTAGTGAAGCAGTCCTCTAAGAAGCGCTCCTCCACTGTGTGCGAATCTCCCGTTGCCATTGGCTCTACTGCTTGTCCTCCTGCTGACGCTTTTTGGCGGTTACTTCGTTTCCTTGATAGCGACTATTCATCGTTATAAACGTCTCGTACCCATCGTCACTCATTAGAGCTTCATTCCATAATGAGAGGAAGCTGTTCCGAGTCATCACTTTTAAAACACACAATCCAAACCTGCAAGAGTCTGCCGATGAATCAGCTGCAACCCGATCATGTAGGGGGTCGGGTTGTCTAGGGCACGGGAACATCAAAATGGATAATTCCAAGTGAGTTGAGGAAGTGAAGACCGAATGCAGCATCCCGCAGTAAACCGAATCACTCATTATCATTCAGCAGATACATGTAGGTGGGGAGGTGGAAAAGTGATCCTTCTGGAAAATACTCCAGTTCAAATCCCTCACAATTGTTGAACTTGTACCAAAATGGCTTGCACATTACAATCAGCCGATCACTTTGTCCTTTTGAAATGTTTTTTTCCTCGCACTTCTGCACATACATGGTCATACGCAGTTCTTTATACAGCTTTTTAGTGTAGCCGTTGAACCTGTCTTTACCGGGATACATCTTGCGTAGTTTCAGCACAGTTGTATTGGCTTCACTTTCAGGGCTTTTGGAGCCCATCTTGGGCGTTACCTACTCCACAAATATATTTGTTGACCTATAGATGCAGTCACCTGGAATCTTCACATCCTCGACATTAAGTGTTTCGATAATAGTAGGTTTGTTGGACTGGCATATGGCCTTCGCTATTTCGAATTCAGCCGGTACTGGAATTGTGCGGCGATACGTAGTGAAGCAATCCTCTAAGAAGCGCTCCTCCACTGTGTGCGAATCTCCGGTTGCCATTGTCTCTACTGCTTGTATTCCTGCTGACGCTTTTTGGCGGTTACTTCGTTTCCTTGATAGCGACCATTCATCGTTATAAACTTCTCGTACCCATCGTCACTCATAAGAGCTTCATTCCATAATGAGAGGAAGCTGTTCCGAGTCATCACTTTTAAAACACACAATCCAAACCTGCAAGAGTCTGCCGATGAATCAGCTGCAACCCAATCATGTAGGGGGTCGGGTTGTCTAGGGCACGGGAACATCAAAATGGATAATTCCAAGTGAATTGAGGAAGTGAAGACCAAATGCAGCATCCCGCAGTAAACCGAATCGCTCATTATCATTCAGCAGATACATGTAGGTGGGGAGGTGGAAAAGTGATCCTTCTGGAAAATACTCCAGTTCAAATCCCTCACAATTGTTGAACTTGTACCAAAATGGCTTGCACATTACAATCAGCCGATCACTTTGTCCTTTTGAAATGTTTTTTTCCTCGCACTTCTGCACGTACATGGTCATACGCAGTTCTTTATACAGGTATTTAGTGTATACATGTAGCCGTTGAACCTATCTTTACCGGGATACATCTCGCGTAGTTTCAGCACAGTTGTATTGGCTCCACTTTCAGGGCTTTTGGAGCCCATCTTGGGGGTTACCTACTCCACAAATATATTTGTTGACCTATAGATGCAGTCACCTGGAATCTTCACATCCTCGACATTAAGTGTTTCGATAATAGTAGGTTTGTTGGACTGGCATACGGCTTTCGCTATTTCGAATTGAGCCGGTACTGGAATTGTGCGGCGATACGTAGTGAAGCAGTCCTCTAAGAAGCGCTCCTCCACTGTGTGCGAATCTCCCATTGCCATTGTCTCTACTGCTTGTCATCCTGCTGACGCTTTTTGGCGGTTACTTCGTTTCCTTGATAGCGACCATTCATCGTTATAAACTTCTCGTACCCATCGTCACTCATAAGAGCTTCATTCCATAATGAAAGGAAGCTGTTCCGAGTCATCACATTTAAAACACACAATCCAAACCTGCAAGAGTCTGCCGATGAATCAGCTGGAACCCGATCATGTAGGGGGTCGGGTTGTCTAGGGCACGGGAACATCAAAATGGATAATTCCAAGTGAGTTGAGGAAGTGAAGACCGAATGCAGCATCCCGCAGTAAACCGAATCGCTCATTATCATTCAGCAGATACATGTAGGTGGGGAGGTGGAAAAGTGATCCTTCTGGAAAATACTCCAGTTCAAATCCCTCACAATTGTTGAACTTGTACCAAAATGGCTTGCACATTACAATCAGCCGATCACTTTGTCCTTTTGAAATGTTTTTTTCTCGCACTCCTGGCCGTACATGGTCATACGCAGTTCTTTATACAGCTATTTAGTGTATACATGTAGCCGTTGAACCTGTCTTTACCGGGATACATCTTGCGTAGTTTCAGCACAGTTGTATTGGCTTCACTTTCAGGGCTTTTGGAGCCCTTCTTGGGGGTGACCTACACCACAAATATATTTCTTGACCTATAGTATAGTATAGATGCAGTCACCTGGAACACATCCTCGACATTTTAAGTGTTTCGATAATAGTAGGTTTGTTGGACTGGCATATGGCCTTCGCTATTTCGAATTGAGCCGGTACTGGAATTGTGCGGCGATACGTAGTGAAGCAGTCCTCTAAGAAGCTCTCCTCCACTGGGCGCGAATCTCCGGTTGCCATTGTCTCTACTACTTATCCTCCTGGATTCGTATTCTCGCTACCCTGCCGTTGTTGGGTGACCTTCACAACAAATCTGCTCGTTGAGTCTGACCTGTAGATGCAGTCACCTGGATTCTTCACATCCTCGACATTAGATTTTTCGATAATAGTAAGTAGGTTTGTTGGACTGGCACATTGCCGTCGCTATTTCGAATTGAGCCGGTACTGGAATTGTGCAGCGATACCTAGTGAAGCAGTCCTCTAAGAAGCGCTCCTCCACTGTGCGAATCTCCCGTTGCCATTGTCTCTAATGTTTGTCCTCCTGCCGACGCTGTTTGGCGGTTACTTCGTTTCCTTGATAGCGACCAGTCGGGAACAGCAGTGCGGCACGTTTCAAACCAATGTTCAAACCTTCCGTCGATCCCCTATGCCACGGCTGATCTCTCACTGTTTATCTGTTTGTCGATGAGTTGCACTTCTTTCGTTTGATAAGATACGACTTGTAGAATTGACCTTTCGCGCTCGGGAGAGCTCGCAAAGGCTGCTCCCGTCCAGCCTGTCGGAATACTGAGCCAGTGAAAAGAAAACTCTGGGCCAGCAAACGAAGTCGAAGTGACTCAGTTTTGTTGGGGCCTTGTTTTAAAGTAACATTTCGCGTATCAAGCAAGTTGCGTAGTTTGTTTTAGTTTTAGTTTATTCGCGTATCAAGCATAGTTAGTTGTGATATTCGTTCTCTGACCGTAACCAAATCTAGATGTAGGAATCTGTTGAGCAGGAGAGCGATACAATCATGTCTTAACGCCCGATGGCTGTCCAGGCTGCAGTGGTGATGAAGAAGACACGATCATCACCCCGAGATCGATTGTAGCGAATTGGAAACTCGTGGTGAATTTGCTTCCACTCCAAGGCAATGTCGAGGCATGAAAGATGCTCATACTGCCTTCCAAAGTGAAGCGGAGATGAACATGGCCTTGCATAGCTCTTGTTCTACGCCAGCTTACCTGCTGTTGCTGGTACCGTCGTGGTATATTGCAAATTTCGTGGACGAACAACCGCTGAGAGTAGTGAGCATTTCAGTTCGAAGTAGTGTCTATAGACAGCATGGTGTTGCATACGTTGTGAATATTGTGCGAATCTAATAATTGGGGGAGGGTAGTGATTAGGCAGAGTATTGTTACAATACAAGGTACTTTGTGAGCAGATAGCAATCAATATCACGACATGGTTTAGACAGGAACGCATAAACGTCACGAAATTGATTGGCCAAAATAGAAATAATTATTATCCCCTGAGTAGTATAATAATTATTATGGTGTTCTCCTGTGTTTACATGCAGATCCTTGACTTTGTTGGACGAGCGACAATATACATTACACAAGCATGTAGCTCATAATGTGGGATAACTGCCGTATTGCATTGCCAACGCAAACCCATCCTGTGTCAGTGCAGCCATCCAGGAACTTGTACTTGCCGGACCAGATGCCTCTGCAGCTGAACACCATTCCAGTGGAAAGCCAAGAGTTGATGGCGAAGCATCCCGGTCTGCACAGTACAAGTCAAAGAACAATAATTATGAATTAGAACGCACTGTAATCCTTCCCAAAAAAGGGCAAAACCTGACAGGCTACTGAGACATTCAACGACCTGAGACCTGGAGATGTGTTAACAAAACTCGGCTTCGCCTCGATTTGTACATGTACTCGTAGGTTTATATTTCTGTTGATACCTCCTCCCGTACGTTGTACAACCTTTTCCAAGCTGGCCTGAATGCACCCTCCTACTCACCTTTTGTCTCCTTTACTATTATTGCCACCTTTCGTTCCCTTGGCCTGGGTAGCTACTTGCGCGCCCATATTTGCCATAGTTACCCAGGCCCTTTATCTTGCCGCGCCCTCACTCGATCTCTCTCTCTCGTTTCGTTTTTCTTGGTCCTTCGTCTCCCATAATAAATGTCTTCCCAACTACCTGTTCCCGTTGTCAGTTGTGTCTGGTTGGTTGAGTGACTCCTTTTCTTACACAACATTTCCCTTTAAATTATAATCAACTGGTTAGGTCCTGGGTTACCTGAGGGCCAGCATAGTGGCAGGAGTGTGTGGTCAAAATTTCACTCAAATCCATTGAGAAACACCAAAGTTACGGTCAATTGAATGCCATATGAAATTTATGGGTAGGCTGCCCCCAAGGTGGCAGACTACCCAAAAATTCGCTGAAAAATCGAATTTGTAAATTCATATTGAGTGCTACGTCAGTTGAAAGAGCATGAATAGCTGCAAATTCTCTGAAAATTGTGTCCCGATCTGACCGGCCGTTCAAGAGTTATGGCCGAAAATGTGCCCTTGCAAGGAAAGATTTTTTGTTGCACGCTGTCATTTGTTGGCAGCACTGTATTTGAATGTGAGCAGACCGTGCGCAACTTGTCGTATCATGGAAACACGTGAAAGTGTGCAGAATTTTGCTCCAAGTCCAAAAAATCAGGTTTTTGAGCCACGTATTGATTAGTATTGGGCTGCACGGCGGCGGGCGAAGCCCGCCGCCGTGCAGCAAGACTTTTGCCAGCACCCTCGTGACGTTGCAGATATGTTGCTTGATTATTGTAGTTGACGTTGATTTAGTGACTTTGGCAAGTTTGAGTCGTGTCAAGAAGTCAGGTAGGATTCAGTACTAGGCAGTAGTGAAACGTGAGTGGTAGTCTTTGCCGGTTTCTGAGGGTATCCTGGATTTGGTGTGCAGCGCTGTGGAAATGGCTTGCTGTGGAGGTCCCAGCACTGGATGTTGTATCAAAGGTACAACCTCGTAGCACGTGTTAATTTTAAACCTAAAAAAATTCAAAAATTGACTTGGGTCTGTGGGAGTGTGTGAGAGAACGCCCACTCGTTCTGTTGTAACAGATTCCAGGGCCTCGTTGAGGGGCCCTACCCCATCACCCATGGCTGCTTCTGGACTTGTTCTAGGTTTGAGTCCCGCGCACGAACAGAATGAGCACGAAAATGTGAAAAAATTGTAAATGCATTTGTTTGGCTCCTGGGTGGCTCGCACACCGTGGCACTATGCCGGAAATTTGAGTTTTTCCGGCCTGGAAAGCCTGTCAGTGAGGCGCAAGAACTTGTAAATCATGTCCTGAGGGCCAGCATAGTGGCAGGAGTGTGTGGTCAAAATTTCACTCAAATCCATTGAGAAACACCAAAGTTACGGTCAATTGAATGCCATATGAAATTTATGGGTAGGCTGCCCCCTTAAAGGGGAAGTGCATCGATTTTTCGAGTAGGGTCCAGAAGAAAGACAATTTGATATCGGTTCGAATGGCATATCTCTCGCTTCCATACGATAAGCCAAACTTGCCAAATCGCCAATTGTATGCTCACGTTGCCATAGCGACCAGAGCAGTGATGACGTATGAAAGGCTTAGCTCCTCCACAGAGAAGGTCGATCACTGCAGAAATTGGTCATTTTTCAATTGTCTTATTGTATTCACGATGTGAAAGAAGTGCTGTGTTCAATGCTGTTAGTGTCGTGAACTATTTATCGCCCTTCTCATGCATTTCCCTAGGCTGACTGCGCCTAGGAAATGGTTTCCTCCAGGACAAGATTCTTGGAATTCGCCATCTCTCCTGAGACATTTTCAGCAAACTTTCAAACCTACGACATTATTTCATTCGTCAATCTCCACCACCCGTCGTCTCACCTGGCTTCAGAAGATGTTACGAGAGATAGCAGAGTCGCCAGGAAGCATCACATTCATCTTCAGGAAGTGGAAAGAGCAAACGGCATGGTCCTTGGTTGGGGGAAATGCTGAACGTCTGATTTGTCCCAACCAAGATTTCAGCATTTTGTTCGTCACTATTTTCGCTTGTCTGCTGGTGTCTCCGCACTCCAGCTTTCTCCTGTCGGTGTCACGTCCCAGTACACAACCGAGAGGACTACTAACAAACAGTTCACTGCACTAACAGCATTGAACACAGCCCTTCTTTCACTTCGTGAATACAATAAACCAATTGAAAATGACCAAATTCTGCAGTGATCGACCTTCTCTGTGGTGGAGCTAAGCCTTTCGTACGTCATCACTGTGCTGGTCGCTATGGCAACGTGAGTATACAATTGGCGATTTGGCAAGTTTGGCTTATCGTATGGAAGCGAGAGATATGCCATTCGAACCGACATCAAATTGCCTTTCTTCTGGACCATACTCGAAAAATCGATGCACTTCCCCTTTAAGCTCATCTTTAGTAATAATCCAGGTTCATCCAGTTGCCTAGGCTACTGGTGGCGGTCAGTCAAATAAGCCTTTCATGTTGCGTGGAACAACCTGTGAAGGACAGGACCACTCAGCAATGACGTTAATTCAGGTCTAGCGCTTGGCGGATTATGCTCGATAAATTGCTGAATCACGCTTTCCATTGTGCCCAAATTATGCCAGTGATTATGCTACATTATGCTGGAATTATGCTAATGATGGTGCCAAAATTGGTCGCAATTTCTGCAAATATACCACAATATTCCCGCAATTTTTGACACAATCCGCAATACTAGTAGTATTCCCCACAATTTGTGGCATTTTACCTCGCAGCCTTTTCCGCAATATTTCCGAGTTATTTCTCCGCAAGTTTCTGTACCTGAAACATGACCTCTGTAGACTGTACCCTTGCACTCTTGTTCCACTTTGCATTATTACAACGACTCTGGCACCATGACACAGATAGCACGTACCATTCACCAGGTTATTTCCTGTAGCATGCCTAAATATGTCAGAAGTAGCGACAAACTCGCCCATTTGAAAATAATCTTTAAAACCGTCCACGTCTCCACACTGCGCTCTTGGCCCGCATTCACAACACCACACCATAGCGAGGAAGTTCGTTCTTGGGTAGATGTTCCATATCCTCCAGACAGCTGTTTCAAAGTTACGTCACGCAAGTTGTCATCAACGCAGGAGTGGCAGCGGGGGAACCTTACCTTCAACTTCTTTGGGTATACCACTTTTCTATGTAGAAAGTGCGAAATTGCTAGCCATTGGCGGACTATGCTCGGCCAATCGTCAAATTATGCTTTTGATTATGCCACAATTATGCCAACAAATATGCTGAATTATGCTGAACTATGCTCGGTTCCACTATGTATTCACGCTGTACATAGAGGATTGATAAACCACGCATACACACACGGCCATGCCCTAGGCATAATTTTTGTCTTAACCGAAAGATTATGCCGACCCTGCACGTTGGAATCCGTATATTATGCCGGAGCATAATTTTTTGACGAAATCTTAAGATTATATGCCAAATATCATGCCGGCATAATCCGCCAAGGGCTATGACAAGGAGTCGTAACTGGGGTATTTAAAAAAAACAACATCTGCAGGCTTTCTGACAAAGCTGTATTATGCCCCTAAGCATAATTTTTGTCTACACCGAAAGATTATGCCGACCTTACACGTTGGAATCCGTATATTATGCCGGAGCATAATTTTTTGACGAAATCCCAAGATTATGCTAAATATTATGCCGGCATAATCCGCCAAGGGCTAGCAATTGCGCCACTTTACCCTATCAGAAGTCCTTTACGCCAGGGCATACTTTTAGACAAAATCTGAAGATCATGTCAACAATTATGCCAACATAATCCGCCAAGGCCCATTCTGGTCCTAGTTCAGCAGTGTCTCTGCGGCCTCATCAGAATGATAAGAAGGAGCATTATGTGTTGGGAACACATCCAAAGCGTATGTGACATTGTGAATGTTGCTTCTCCCCTGGCCCCCATCACACAACACTGCTACAACCGCATAGTTTATCTGACATAATGCTTGACAACAAATAATTACGAAGGCGTAGGAGGAGAAAAGTGAAGATGAACAAAGAAAAGACCAAAGGAAAAAGCCGATGGAGCAACAAAGAACAAGCAAACGAATGTAAAAGTGCGGACGAATCGAGACGACCAGTCAGAGACTGAGATCTACAGAACACATGATCTAGACAATCAGACCACGGATGAATCACTCTCCCAGCTGCTGGGCAAAACTAGCAGGCCACATGAGGGACACTCACTTGACATTCCCCCTCACTCTAACAACGCGTAGTTTTGCACACTCCACACACCACACACCATACGTGTCACACACTGCACCCTACCTACACTTGCCCAACAAAGTTAGTAGACAATATAAGTATGACATCAGATATCGGACTCTACAACACAGTACAAAAACAAGAACCACATACAACAACGTGCGTGAAGAATAATCGAACTTCGTAACACATGGGCCCAGATATCCGATGCATTGAACTGAGGGGACGCATTAGATTCGACAGGATTAGACAAAGTGACCGAGCCAGCACTCACTTATGTGCTTTGGAAACATCCAAGCTGCCCGCGCAGGGCTTCAATGTATTGCTCGGCGAGGATGCAGCAGGTTCGATCGCACTGGTTGCCTTCTGGGTGCCTGAATCAACCAGAGGAGATGACTTCGCAAAGTCAAGGTGTTCATTGATCTCCTTGACTACTTGCTCCATGTTCATACGCTCAGCTGCATTGTGTCGCATCATGTAGTACATAATCCTATTCACACAAGGAGGCAGGCTAGAAGTAGACAAGCCTATAAATTTCAGAGGACGATATGAAACCTTCCCCATAATGTCATTCATCGTTATAAACTGCTTGTATAAATCGTCACTCAATATAGCTTCACTCCATAATGAGTCGCAGGGGTCCCGGGTCATCACTTTTAAAATACACAATCCAAACCTCCAAGAGTCTGCTGACGGACTAACCATTATCCAATTCTTTTCGGGGTAGTCTATGCCTGGTTGTGGGAACAGTTCAGGAGGTCTATATGAGCGAGTATCATCGAGTGTTCTGCAAAGATCTACCTTCTCGCCTGCGAATTTAGCAGAACCTAGGTCGATCAACTTGGCGATCCGTGTTCCGTCGGCTCGCATGCTAACACAGACATTTGCTGGCTTCACATCAAAAT